CTCTTGTTCGATACCTTAGAGAACTTGTTCGTTGGAATTTTTGATCTCTATAGGAGTATCCCATGGTTTGATCTTATTTACGAGGGGCGTTCAATACGTTTTTACCTTGCTTATAAAGGAAAGAGCGAACTAGAAAGTTGAGATCTAACACTCAGCACAATGCTTGTTCTGTTAGTCACCACTCACTCTGCAAACTGACCCATCTTTCTGCCTTAATTGTTTACCCCTTAAGTCTTTGTACTTCATATGACCTCCGATAAAAAAAACCTCAAACCATTCCACATCACTATCAAAATGCTGTTCTTCATTAACTTTTTGTCAGATTTGGGAAAATAAACAGTCAGAGGGTGACATATGCAGTGAATAATAGGGTGTTTTATTTGACAATTTCGTAGTCTCACTGCTTTGCAGATTGTGCAGCAACTTTTGTTGCTGCTGTTCCTGAATATCTTTTTTCCCACACTTAGAATCTAATAATTTCCAGTGAAAAAAAAAAAGGTATGTTTTCAAAGATTCGGAAAACATAGATATTGTAATGTGTCTGTTTTCCCTTCCTGCACGACCTTTACTCCCAATGAGACTGAGAATCCTCATGATGTCACGAATGTGAGTTTTGCCCATGGGAAGAATCCCAGGGCTGTGATCACTGAATTTAACCTTTCCCTTATTCAAAGGCAGGAAATTTTAGTCTACTTAATCGACACTTTCACAGAAAAAAGAACGAAGACTTAATGTTTACTTTACAGTGTAGAACTTGCCGCAGCTATCACTGAAGGCCTTACATTAGCGATTTGATATAGGCCTACTCCTTCTGAACGTACTACACTGTGTATGCTTTTTACAGGCTTTTTGGGCCTCACAGGATCTGGGAGGACTTCGATTTCCATGAGACGTATCATGGATTCTCTATCAATTTGTCTTCTTCTCGACTACTTGTGATACAACTCTTAATAGTTTTTGTCATATCGTTTAAAATTCACTCCCTGGGAATGTTTTAGTTTGAGGCAATAGGAAAATAGTGCTGACAATACGTATACTTTTTTGGACCTGAATTTATTTTCTTGAATGTAAATTCATAGTGTACTTATAATGACTATTATGGGTGAGCGTAAAATTCTGCTGGTTCTTGTAATGTACTATGTACTTATTGTTGTGTACATGTATTACTTATACTTATTGACAGTCTTATATATGTGTCGGCACACTAAGAAATTGAGTAAGATTTTTTTCAGCCAATGATTTGTTATGGATATGATTTCATTTTTAAAATTTGTGTTCTGCAGATATGTGCAAGAGATTCTTGGAAGTTTGACCAGCAGTCAGATTGTGGAGTTACAGACTAATGCAAATGGCATTACAGAGTACTTCTTTAGTGAGGCTGGCAAAGAAGCTCTTAGTTCTGGTGGAACTTATGAGAGAACACTCATGTTTAATGCCATCATGGCCAGCTACAAAGCAGTGAGAGAGTGCGTTTACCGGGATGGTCCCTGCAGTAAGTATTCTTCCTGATTACTGACGTGCTGCCATAAGAAGTTAATATTAAGTGTTAGCTTTAGTTTAAGTGTGGACTCTGAAAGTTTATCTTATTATAGCCTGAATTTTAAAAATCTGTTCAGTAAGTGTGGTACAATGGTCCCCACCAAAGATCCCGGTGTTTGGGAGCAAGGAAAATGCTGGATCTTAGGCGAACAATAAAACTCTTAACCGACAAACTAAGGAAAGAATCCACAGTTACTAATGATCAATCCAAAAATCGATAAAATGATCCTCACTTACTCACTGAAATGAACTGACGTGACCCCCTGGAGTAGGCGCATGACTTATGGCAAACAAATGTGGCTAACATTCATTAACAGTCACTATCGCATGAGGCATGCCATTTTTATTTATTCAATCGTGAGTCTCAAGATCTACGCTAGTCTCAAATCTCCTCCTATTAACCTGTCCAAAATGTACAGCTTTTGTATCTCTGGGCGAGATCCCCCTCCTCTGATGTAACACGCCATTGTGTAATTGTGACCGCACTGTACCCACCCAGCTTACGATAATATGAGTTCAGATGGAGAGCTCAGAATATGCGAATGCGATGTTGGGGAAAACAAACTCGTTGTCGAGTTCACACCTCGGTGTAATCCCGTATGGAGGTAAATTTAACATTTCATCAAGGTTAACAACATTACTACAGGGATGTGATCACATCTACGAGAGTGGTTGATCTGCACGATGCAACAGATATTTCAATGATCGCAAATTTTACTGCTTGGTTGATCAGCTGCAATGGCCCGGGATCTTTTTCTTCTGTAAATTAAGATCTGAAGTACGGGATCTTAGCTGAATATAGTCCTATAGAGTGGGATCTTAGGGGTGACTTTTGTGAAAATTTTTAAAATGTGTTTTCATAAAAACTGTGCATCTTCAGTAAACTGGGATCGTAAACGGTGGGATTTTAGGAGGAGACTGCTGCACTTGGTGTACTTGTTTGTATCCCCCCCCTCTCTCTCTCTCTCACTCTCCACCCACGCCCCCTCTCTCTGTCTGTCTGTCTGTCTGTCTGTCTGTCTGTCTGTCTGTCTGTCTGTCTGTCTGTCTGTCTCTCTCTCTCTCTCTCTCTCTCTCTCTCTCTCTCTCTCTCTCTCTCTCTCTCTCCTTATCTCTTTTCCTCACTTCCTCTCTCCTAATTGTCTTCTCCCTTCCTCTTCACAAACACACACACACACACACACACACACACACACACACACACACACACACACACAAACACAAACACACACACACTCTCCCCCCCCCCTTCTCTCTCTCACACTCACGCATACACACACACGCACATACACGCACGCACGCACGCACGCACGCACGCACACACACACACATACACACACACCCTCTCTTTCTCTCTCTCTCTCTCTCTCTCTCTCTCTCTCTCTCTCTCTCTCTCAAAACAGTATCCTTTATACTCAGTCCCATAAGACATTGCTGGAGACTGTAGACTATTATGGTGCCCAGTCTCCTGTGCTTCATATTAAAAGTTGCAACGTGTTATTTCACATGCGGAAGTTTATAATGTAAAAGCTTGAGGTGCCAAATGCAGACAGGAAGCGACGTATCGCAGAGGCAGAAGAATGCCACGCATAATAATAATGACAAACTGATATGAATTATGAACACTGGAAATGTGTCGTTGTGCTCAATCGAAATTATCATAATTTTAATCCCGAATCGGCAACTTAACAGTTAGAAGTCGGGTGGCCTTGCCACTAGACTGTCAATGCCACATGATATTTTCAAAACTGCTCGCATCTCATAGTTACTAACAATGCACAAGATCAGTTTTTTTCTAATTTGTTAAGAAGACATGCTCTTGTCCTGGCAAACGTATGCTTCTGTGTAATCTTCAACTAACAAAATGTGTGTAGAATTGACATGGATTTTGTCTTTACCTGATAAGACTATAAGTATACGTATTAGACTCGAGGTGCTTATTTTGGTGTCTGAAAGGCATCCCTTGTAATGATTGAACTTCCATAAATTTATCGAAATGGAACCCATGAGCTCAATTCCTGTTGGCGACCTGACATCTCCCTAGAAGTTTCATCTAAAATGTTGTGTACTTATTCCACTTTCTCTCGCTGTCCCCATATCCCCCCCTCCCCATCCAGTGCTTCCTACCCACCATGGTACCAATAATATTTTTCTTTGTATTTTCGATAGCTGCAAGGTATGAGGACGACCTGTTTTATGCTCGAGATGAAATGACTCAGCAGACTGTGGACAACACCGTTGGTTTATTTCTCTCTAAGGCCCCTGGACTTGAACAGAGATTAGGTACGTAAGCAAAAAACACATGTTTATAGCATGTCAGTTTTCAAAATACCTTGTAGGATGGGATATACTTTGTACTCATATTTCATTGTGTTCGTTCCCCAACTGAAAGCAAATATCATTTTTGACAGTTCGATATTTATAAGATCTTTATAAATTTGACCATGTAGGTTTAATCTATCAGCATGGGTTTGACATGATTTATCTTCCATTTATGCCAACTGTTGGTTCTTTTAAAAATGTTTTATTGTTAAGAATACAAAATTCTCATATATACAGACATTTATCAAGCTTTGTCTTTTCCAGTTGCATGCTAAAAAGCCTACACCCTCCACGTCTGTTCTTTTGGACCATTGCCTACCTGGCTGCTGCTATGACGATCTTATTCTAACATTTATTACTGTACCCTTCTTATATTGCCTTCCCAATATTCTCTACAGACAAATTGTTTGTTGTGATAAATATTGTAGAACAAAGCAAATGTTGTAATGTCCCAATTATTTTGAACTTTGTGGACTTCAAAAACAAGCATTTGGCAGCATAGACCGAACGGTCATGTAGAAAATTCTTTCAATTTATGACATTAAAAAAACAACAACAAAACTGTATAAGATCAATATATACCAAAGCAAGCATGCCACAGTGTCCTAGTTGAATGGGAACTATCTACACATTTTGAAGTAAATACTTACGGGAGTAAGACAAGACTGTATATTGTCACCTGTACTTTTTGGAATTGTGATCGATTTTATAACGAGACAGAGCAAAGACATTGAAACAGACATTGGATAGACAAATGACACTTATTTAGGACATTTAGATTTTGTGGATGACATCTGCCAATAAAACACCACAGTACATGAAATACAATAAAAAACAAACTAGAAAAAGCTGCGAACAAAGTTGTCCTTATTATAATTGTATCTAAATCAGGAGTACTACGACTATCATCAGAAACTACGCCCATCAATCCTTATGGAAACCCCTGGCAGAAATTAGTAAATTCAAGTACTTTGACAGCATTTTTCCAAAATGCAGACTGCCTTGACGACGTCTACCAAAGTCTTTAAAATGCATGGATCGCTTCTGTAAAATTAAAAACCATGTGGAAGTCAAAGATAATTTATTCATTGAAGACGAAATTAAAAATATATAATAATAGCAATGTTTTATTATTTTGCAATTTGCAATTTGTATTATTTCAGAGCAAGGCATTTCAGTGGCTGAGATTGGTAGTGGCACAGGACGTGTTCTGGCTAAGCTGGCGCAGAAGTTTCCAAACAGCAAGTTCACAGCAACTGATATCCGGCCGCACTTGGTGGAGAGGATGAAATCTCTGTATAGTCACCTACACAACATACATTATCGTGAAATTGATATCTGTACGTTCCCAGAATCGATTGATGAGCAATACGATTTTATATTCACTATAGATGTCATCCATGATTTACCTTATCCTCAAAAAGCTCTTAAAGTATTGAGAAGATATTTGAGAGGACCCGATGGGACTCTCATATTTATAGACATGGCCGGGCCTGGCTCACACGAAGCAAATGTTGGTGACCGACAAGCAGCAGCTATGTACGCCACCAGCACTTTCATGTGTATTCCAGAGAGCTTTCAACAGAGTGATGGTGTTGCATTAGGTGCATGCTCATCTCGGGATGCATTAGCCAAGTTAGCCACTGATGCTGATTTTAATGTTGACACTATTATCCTTGAAAAACACGTAGCTCTCTTTCTTTGTAAACTAGCCTTAAACTGAAACTATCAGTAGATGTGATATTGGTATTGTTTTGGGTGTTGTTTTTTAAAGTTGATTTATTATGGTTTGGGCTTAATGTTAATTGCAGTCATATTTTGTGCCTAAGAAAGCTCACATCAAAATTATTACTCTATAGAAATGAAAGTATTCAAGTTGCATCTATATGGCATATGGACATGCAGTCTCGCACGAACATGGTGTAATAATTGAATAAGTTAATTTTCTTTTATATCACGTTATATCAAGGGAGATAAACAGCAAAAAAGAACAATTGTGTCAAAATTTTATATGAATTATAACCCATTTCTCAAGCCAACTTGTATCGGGTTCTCACAGTTCACAGATTATAATTATAATTTGGGTTTTTAACATTGATACTTCATTCACTTATGCAAGGATAAGCCTCAGAGCACAGAAACAGTCTTTTCCAAGTACTTGAGCCTGGGATCATTTCTGATCTTCAAGCCATGTTGCATTGCCATAATTCGTATGTCATAATCTGAAATGTGTATATGAATTTGCACGCTCCCATTTCGAATACTCTGTAGAAGTGTCATGCAAAGTTTCGTGGGCCTAGGTTAATTTGTCAATGAGCTAGAATTTTTTTAACGCTGTCAGAGGAAAGCGAACAAGCTATAGGCACTGCCTCTGTGATTTTGAAGACGTCAGTGTGTTCCTTTTTCAATGTAGCAGCCCTTTCGTGGATTATTATTTTCTTAGTGCTTTTTTGTAATGGTGTAAGGCGAAATCCGTATTTTGTGATTAGGGAGGGCTAGACAGCAATACACTAAAGCGATGTAGACCAAGAAAGGAGTTAATCAAGGCAAACTTAAACTAAAGCAATATAGATCTAGAAGCCAGGTATGACTGAAATGCTAGAAAGCAAGGTACATGTAGTGTAAAATGCCTCTGCGGCGTAGACCAGTAGGAGCAGTGACGCCAAGGCGTCGACTCCGAGCAAAGCCGGGTGCTCAGCTAGTATCATATAATTATCATGGCTACTTTGGTAAACGACATTGGCAGCCATGTTTTATTAGATCTACCCTCTGATGCTAATTATTTTCGCTAAGTACGAACTGTTGACGCTGTGTGTATGTTTTTAATACAAAGAGTATATAATATAAAGGCAATGTAGGTACATGATAGATCTTTACTTCTTTCCTTTCCCTCTGTTGTTTCTATCTGTCTGTCTTATCTTTTTCCAGCACCAAATGACAATTATTTTGTCAATATGCTTCTCTTTACTCAAACAAAACAAGCAAGTAATTGGGATTAATTTTTCGTTGTTGAACACAATTACTACATGTATTTTGCTTATATTATGTTGTATGCCAAATTTTGTACCGGATTCTTATCGATGACAGGTAATCTGTCTTAAGCTTTATCTTGTTACTTAATTGCTGCTTTTTAATATTTTCTGGGGTTTTATGGCCAGTATCCTAGAGATGGTTAGGCCTTTATAAAATTGCTACTTAGGTATCTTTTACTGAATTCTTACTCATAACTTATCTAATGTTGTTTATATTATGTTATATGCCACATTTTGTACCAGATTCTTATCGATGACAGGTAATCAGTCTTAAGCTTTATCTTTTGACTTAATTGTTGCTTTTTACTATTTTCTGGGGGTTTATGGCCAGTGTCCTAGCGATGGTTAGGCCTATATGTAGCACTGCAACTTATCTTTTACTGAATTGTTTCTCTTAACTTATCTTTGTAATGTTCAACTATAAAAAAAAATATATAAAAAAAGAAACATTACTTCAAAGTAAGCCATTGTCTCAGTCTTATTAACCAGCTGTCTACAGTAGGCCTGTTGTTTTTAAGAGATTGTCGCTTAATGACAATAGATAGATCTACGTTGGAAGTAGCATTAACAAATTTTTTTACAGTAATGTTTAAAGAAATATTTTTTGTTGACTGATTTTGATTTTAAAAAAGTGTGCTGCAAACTGATACATATGTATTAAGTACGTGGTCTTTGTCATTTATTTATGCATGTTCATGACTAGATGTGCCATACTTGCACATACACAGCTGAATTTGAAACGAAATTATGATATAGATTGTGTTGATGGATGTGCAATACATTTAATTTACAGTCTGTTGAATAAAAATGTTAATGACAAGTTGCACTCAAAAGCACATCATTCTCAGAAGCTCAGTGTCTCATTTCTTTTGTTCTCTTTCAAAGTATATAATACATGTTTCCGAGTTTGAGAGTGGTGTGCTCCAGTGCGAGTGAAAGTATGTCTCCTGTGCTTCTTGTATTTGTTTTCACTCTTGTTTTTTTTTCTTCTCAGCTTTTTATTATATATGTGAAGAACTCGGACTCTAAATTTTCATTTGTCTTGACGTTACTATTTTTATTTTGTTATCCCCTCCGAATAGAACATTTGTGCTCCCAATTGGGGGGGGGGGGGGGGGGGGGGGCTCGACAGGCATGGTGTTCTCCTGTCAACCAGGGATGCCGCCTGAGTTCAGTCCCCACTAATTTGACTTTTTAAAAAATTATGTTTTCTACACCCCCTGATCCATGGGCAGGTTGGATCAATAAACACCTCTTCTTGTTGGATAAAGATGAAAAATTTTGGAGCTGCCCTGTGAATTTTTTTTTTTTTGAAGGATTGTTTCGCAGTTCTGAAATTTAAAAAAAGAGAAGGCCCTTTAACTTACTTCAAGCGGCTGTCTTGGCAAAATTCAAAATTAATGCCTACCCAAAACTGAAGTCACTCTAGTCAGTATAAAAATAAATACTAAAAAGAGTCTCTTTGAAAACGGCATGTGGTTGCGTGTCAGGCAAGGGATGATTCTACGTTCTTTGTAGATAAAATATGGCCATGTACGTAAAAATCAGTTGCATTGTGAGATGAAAATCTTACAGTCAGTTGCCCTCTAAGTTCTGAGCTCTAGCAGGGGTAGGCGAAAAAAGAAATAGCACTCTCCATTACATTCAATAAAACGTTTTTAATTAAGCATGGTGGGTTTTCCTTGATGAATATGATGAAGTATGTAATAATAATAAAGAGATCCACCGTTTTCGTTTCAAGTAGCCTGCATTATTCTCCTTTCTCTCATTGCTAGAGATTATGTATGAAGAAGATGAAATTAGAGCTGCCTTTACTCATGAAAGTACATTGTATAATAATAATGGCATCGTAATTTTCAGAATGAATAAAAATTGTCTTAACATGCAGAACATTTTGCCATGCGTACTGGATTTCTTTTTATATTTTTGTTAACATGTTCCTCTATTTGTCTGATAACATTTCCACTTAGAAATGATAGACCTCATGCTCTATTCTTTGAATGTAGTCAGCGTTACAAGCTTACGTAACGTTTCTGTCACAAATGTGTGAAAATAATTGCTCAAGGTAAATCTGCAAGTTAACCTTGCTATACAAATAAATATCTTTTAGTTATAAAGTGCATAAAACATGCCGTAGAGCGTGGGATATGCTATATTATAGAAATGTGAGTCATCGTGGTGAAATCAGGCGCTCGTCAAAATACAATACATGTACATAAAATCGAAGAAAACGACACTTTTCTGCCCGTTTTGCAATTTTAATCATTTTTGGTTTTTGTTGTTGTTGTTGTTGTTGTTGTTGTTGTTGTTGTTGTTGTTGTTGTTTTAAATCAATGCCCTATAACGTCCATTCAAAAACACATTTCGAGGAGGATTTTACTGAAAACAGTCGATAAAGGCACAAAAATTCAACTTTACAGTTTTCAAGCGCTCTAAAGCCGTGGGAGTTACCAGACTTTGGGGACATTTTCTCGCTAATTTTACCTCTGAAGCAAAGTGACCCTCACCTCCTTCAATCACAAATATCTAGACTTTTATTCAAGATAGACGTTTATTTTTTTTCATCGAAACCAAAACAAATGAACAAACTTTAATATGGTACCAATAACTCCATATGCCCCAAAATTGACGAGCGCCTGATTCCATCGCGTCTTGACACAAATGCATTATTTGCCCACAGGCTTGAGATCATACGTATACATGATCAAACAATCTTTTATCTTCACTCGAGAGCTAATACACCCCCGTCCCCAAACCACATATTTGTATGGCATACCAAGTCAGCACCTTGAAAATTTACAGACCATCTTGATAAGCTTATATACTGTAAAGTGAAGCTTGGTCTCATATCTGACGCAAACATAATAATATCATAGACCGACGACCTCTTTAAGGGCCTGTCGGTCAAACTTTTTAAACAATGAAAATCCTTATTTACAATATCATGAGGACGATTTTGTCTGGACGTTGGAATTCTTTTAGAACACGCGAGGTTCATAAAGTGTAACATCCAAATCAGCACATGAGGTGTGGTACACATCTCAGGACTTGGGAGTGCTGCCAAATGTGACTTAATCTAAAGTCCTATCATCCTGTGTGTGCGAAATACACATTAAGGCCTATGTGGTGTTAAATGGCGACTCGTTTTCATTAGTCTTAAAATACCACGGATTTGAAAGTGCACGGTGCCTGAGTCAGACCTCAGTTTTTGGTGTAATTAAATCATCGCAAGCGTTTTTTTTCCCCTGTGAAAGGACAAAACAGGACATGGAGGTGTGCCATGCATACAAAGCTGTAAATCTGCGATGTGTGAAAACTATGAAAATTGAGTGACTTAAGAATTGAGAAAACGTATTTCTGTCAATGATCACAATAATATAGACATTTTAAAGTTATTTTGCTATCTTCATTCGGTACGGTACACAAGATACGAGGTCAAGAGACGGCACTAATTTCGCTTCGAACATAATCCCTTAATAGGCTACAGGGTAGACCAGCTTCTTCATCATAGGCCTTTGACTGCCTTTGATCAAGTTGAAAGAAAGATTTGTTGCTGACTTAAGAAATCACAGCTGAATGAGCTCGAACCCCAGATCTCTCACATCATAGGCGAGTTCTTGCAAAAGGAGTATCCTCATAACTTCACCCCCCCCC